TTCCAGCTTTTTCTGCTTATGTGGTGCTGAGGAATCAAACCCAGGGCCTCATGCATGCAAGGCAAGCACTCTACCACTGAGCCACCTTCCCAGCCTTCAATAAAATCTTTTACATTTTCACTGCAGACTCAGTGGTCTCACTGACCTCCCCACTGCAAGAGTACTGGACCTGAATTCCATCCCCAGTCCCAGCACACACATGAATCTGTTTGTCTGAAGGAGAACTATTACAATATTTTCTGTGGCATCTTGAGCTGGGCCATCCCTGAGATTGGTTGAAGCCTGGACTCTGCACAAAGTGAGGGACTTACCCATCTTGAATCTGATGGGCAGTGATCTCTGAGACCCTGAAGGGCCAAGGAAGAACTCCATGTCCCCTCCTAGATTCTACTTCTCTCACTCCTCTTAAGATTCATTTATTTACCTTCCTGCTAACTCCTTGCTGCCAATCAGAAATCAGCATCTGTTTAGAGTTCTGAAGTTTCACCTAGCTGATCTGGATTGGCTCAGCTTTTGCTAGCTCTACCTTTAGAAAATGGAAAGGATTAGGTAGAGTGTGAAAAGCAGGACCCATAGATGTAAAATAACAAAGGGTGCTTAACCTATTTAAATGAATGTGGTTTGGTTTTGGTTTTGGTTTTGGTCTCTCTCTCTCTCTCTCTCTCTCTTTCAGTTGTGAGGCTGGAATTTAGGGCCTGGGCACTGTTCCTGAGCTCTTTTGCTCTAGTGCTCTACTACTTTGAACCAAAGCACCACTTCTGGTTTTCTGGTGGTTAATTGAAGGTAAGAGTCTCACAGGGTTTCCTGCCTGGGCTGGCTTCGAACCATGATCCTCAGATCTTAGCCTCCTGAGTAGCTAGGATTACAGATGTGAGCCACTGGCAACCAGCCAAATGCCATCTTCTTATCATCTTTTTTTTTTTTTTTGCCAGTCCTGGAGATTGAACTCAGGTCCTGAGCACTGTCCCTGAGCTTCTTTTGCTCAAAGCTAACACTCTACCTCTTGAGCCACAGTGCCACTTACGGCTTTTTCTGTGTATGTGGTACTGAGGAATCTAACCCAGGGCTTCATGCATGCTAGGCAAGCACTCTGCCATTAAGCCACACTCCCAGCCCTCTTATCATCTTAAACAGCTCCAAACTCAGGAGATCAGTTCCCAGCAACTTGTTTCCATTGCTTTTCAGAGGTAAAAGTGGTGAAAATTCTCCAGAACTCCCCAATGACAAAAGCTGAGCTATGGTGAACCCGGCCACACCCTGACCAGAACTGTTGTAACTCTGCAGAGCTTTCTCAGCCCCTGCCTACAATTCTCCCTATTTAACCCAAGGCCAGTGCCTGCACCCCTGAAGATGGCTGAAGGTGTATTGAAGTGCTGTCTTCCCTTGGATGCCATGGAATAAATCTCCTTTGTCTGCCCTTCACCGTCTATTTGGCATATGGACGGGTGAGTGCCCTGACCTAACCCGGGACTCCTGAACTTTGGAACTGGGGTCTAAAAAAATGAGTTTCACAAATGCAATGGACTCTGACAGTGTGGGAGGTGGATTTGTTCTTGCTGTGGTTTTCACAGCTGATGGGGAGGAGCAGTGTGCTGCTACTCTCCAGGGTTTGAGCACAAAAATCAGTTTTTGACAGGATTTGAAGACGTGTGATCTGTGATGGAATTCTCCCCTAGCCATTGTGATAAGCCCAGCTTAAAATCCTAGCTATCCAGGAGGCTGAGCTCTGAGAACTGCGGTTCAAAGCCAGCCTGGGCAACAAAGGCATCAAAACAGTTTCCTCCACCCAAAAGCCAGAAATGGAGTATGGCTCAAGTGACAGAGTGCCAGACTTAAGTGAAAAGCCAAATGAGTGTGCAAGGCCTTGAGTTCAAGCCCTATACTGGCACTAAAGGAAAAAAAATGTCACTAATTTTCTTTTTGGTGCCACTGTTAGGGCTTGAACTCAGGGCCTATACAATGCTCCTGAACAATTTTTTGCTCAATGCTAGAGCTCTGCCTCTGGAGCACAGCTCCTTTCAGCTCTTTTCGGTGGTTAAAAGGAGGTAAGAGCCAGGCGATGGGGCTCACACCTGTAATCCTAGCTAATCTGCAGTCTAAACCCAGCAGGCATGGGAAAGTCCATGAGACTCTAATCTCCAATTAACCAGGAGAAAACCCAAAGTAGAACTGTGGCTCAAAGTGGTAGTCTTGATCAAAAGAGGCTCAGAGACAGCACACAGGCCCTGAGCTCAAGCCCCATGACCTTAAAAAAAAGAGAGAGAGATGAATCATAATCCTCAGATCATAGAGCCACTGGCACCTGGCACTAATTTTCTTCTAATATAAAAAATATTGCGGCCAGGCACCAGTGGCTCATAACTGTAATTGTAGCTACACAGGAGGCTGAGATCTGAGGATCGTGGTTCAAAGCCAGCCCAGGCAGGAAAAGTCCGTGAGACTTATCTCCAATTAACCACCAGAAAGCCCAAAGTGGTACTGTGGCTCAAAGTGGTAAGCACTAGCCTTGAGTGAAAGTAGTTCTGGGACAGCACCTAGGCCCTGGGGTTAAGTCCCACAACTAAAAGAAAAAAAGTTATTGGGCTGGTTTTTTTCCACATTTCTCCAAGGTCATGTCACAACTTCAGTTTCTGGTGGACATTTGTTCTTTATTTTTGTGTTGGTCCTGAGCCTTAAACTCAGGGCCTATGTATTCTCCCCAAGCTTTTTTGCTCAAGGCTAGCACTCTACCACTTACACTACAGTTGCAGTTCCAGCTTTTTTAGTAGCAAGAGTCTTACTGACTTTCCTGCCTGGCTTGGTTGTGAAAAATGATCCTCAGAGCTCAGCCTCCTGAGTAGCCAGAACTACAGATGTGAGCCACTTGCGGGGCATCCCCTCCCCCACCAGTGTGCTCCTGGGTCTATTCCAGACCCCCTTGACTGTTGTCTCCACTGCACATCTCAGATGAACCACCCATGGTGTGTGAACCAAACCACAGACACAGAAGGAAGCAAGAAGTAACAGGTGCCCCATGAAGAACACGGCAGCACTGCATGCTGGGAGTTCCTGGAAACTAAACCCTTTTGAACAAGACAACATTGGTCCTTTGCCACCATCAAAGATGGTGATGTGTGAATTTAAACTGTAAAAGGCAAGAGGATCATGGAGGAAACAAAATGGTATTTTTCTGAGATGCTCTTTATTTCTATTTCTTTACAACCATCTATACTGAAGTAACAATCTCAAACATGAAATCTTAACCTAGAAACTCAAAATTTCTATTTCTGAACCCTTTAGAACATGAATCTCTGAAGGTTCTCAACTTCCCAGGTCAACATCTCCCATCCAAGGCTGCCCCTGCTGTCGGCCCTGTCCTTTCCCCTCCCAAGACTGAACAGGTTCTGGGTCAATAGCCCAGAAGCAGGGTTTTAAATGCCTAGGCCCAACGGTAACACCCAGGGCACAGGTGAGCCTGGGCTTCAAACTGGGCCTGGTTGCCAGGGAGAGGACAGGGAATGGTACTGAACCAGATTGTTCTGGACTGTCTTAACGGCTCTGCCATTATCATCAGCTTATCACGAAGTTGGTTGAGTCTCCACTGGTGCAGGGTGCCCTGGGGGCCGTAGACCTCCAGAGGAGTAGAATACATCTCCAGGCTTAAGTGGCTCAGGTGCACAGTGTGGACCAGCAGGGCCTCCAGGGCGGTCACAGACACGGGGTTCCTCAGGTAGTTGAAGGTGGTGAGGCTGGAGCAGCGGCTTAGGGCGGGCAGGATGGCGGTGAGCTGGGCGTCCCGGATCCCGCAGTCCTCCAGGTCCAGGGTCTTCACGGTGGCCGCGACGCTCTCCAGCAGAACTCGGAGGGGCTCAGGGCTGAAGCGAGTCATCCTGACACCACTCAGGTTCAGCTCGCTGAGCTGACAGATGCTCGGGCTCTGCGACAGACACGTCAAGTCTGATTCTGAGAGCCGAGAGTCGGTTATTGAGAGGGACTCCAGCGGGGTCCTCAGGAACCTGAGGAGAGAGCCAACGGTTAGATCTGAGAACTGAAAGGGAGAGGTGGGGGTGGGGGGGCCGGCCTCCAAGGAGAGGACCATGGGGAATGGGATCCAGGATGCTGTGTGGTGAAGAGCCTGACTGCAGTCACAGGCACCCTCTGGGGATCTTTGCCCCACAACTAGCTTCCTGGTATGGTGGCCCTTTCTAGGCCACACACTCCAGCAAAACCCTCTGCCTTTCATGAACCCCAGGTTAGCCCTCTGTATTTATTTACATGCACCCCAGCTTCGATCTCTGCCTTCACATGTGTGCTAAGAGGAGACCTGGCTACAGGACAGAAGTAGACATTCCTAATGTTCTGGTGTCTGGATCTCTGAGACAATCCTTGGTGATCGGCACAGTAGGTGCTCACTAAACTTCCAGGGACAGCAAAGGCTCCCTCACCTGAGCACCTGGTGCAGGCGGCCTTCCAGGAAGCAGACAGAGTCCATGGACAGCTCCTGGAGGCAGCCCAGGTGGGCAAACTGAGAGGTGAACTGCAGGACCAGCCGCTCCTGCTCCTCGGGGGCAATGGAGGCGGCCCGGTGGACGTGGGAGAGGAGGAGGCTGCGAAGATTTCCCATCCGGCTGAGGTAAGGAGCAAAAGTGGCCAGGCTGGACAGGGTCCAGTTGCAGTTCACTTCCACTTCCTCAACACAGGCCAGCTGCAGCTTGTCCAGGATCTTCTCAGCACTGTGCACGTATGGGGTGATGATCTTGAACTTCTTACAGCTCAGCAGCACTGAAGCCTTTCTCTGCTCCACCCACAGGAGGAGGTAGGACAAGAATGGGTCCAGGGTTCTCTGGCTGAGGTTCAGGTCCATCAACACCTCCAAGAGCGGCTTCGTACCCATCTCCCCTCCATTCTCCTCTGCTGGACTCTTCAGTCTCCTAGTCTTGGCCTGTGCCAGGCTGACATCGGCATTGCCTCCAGCCCAAAGCTTCCAGAAGTTGTGGTGAAGGTTCCTCAAATCCAGCACCTGCAATTTCCACCGTCTGCGGGGGAAACAGAAGCCCAGATATGCAGAAAGGACTAGCCTTCCACTTGAAACTCTCCTCTTCTTCCTGACCCTGTCTATTTCCCTTTCTTCCCTCTCCCTTCCTTTTCCTTCATATCCTCTCCTCTTTCTCCCCCACCCCTGCCACTCTTGTTTTTCGGCCAGTCACTGGGGCTTGATTTCAGAGCCTGGTTGCTGTCCCTGGGCCTCTTTGTGCTCAAGGCTAGTGTTCTACCACTTGAGCCACAGCACCACTTCCAGCTTTTTCTGAGTAGTCTATTGGCGATAAGAGTATCATGGACTTTTCTGTTCTCGCTGGCCTCAAACCATGATCCTCAGATGCTCAGCCTTCAAGTAGCTAGGGTTGCAGGCATAAGCCTTCTGCCCTTCCTGAGTCCATGCTAAGGAGTCCCACCACCCAGAAGATGTTCCTGGATGTGCTCAGCCACTGCCCAGGACTCTCTGGTCCTCCTGACTGGTACCAGAAGAAATATCTGGACTACTAGTAGTTCAACCCACTCTCCCAGACCCCAGCTGGCTCTTCCCTGCACTTTAAGGGGTTTTCTCTTGATAAACCTCACCTTGGCCGATCTGTCAGAGCAAGCAGCATGTCCAGCCCGTCCAAGGCAACCTGCAAGGCTTCCAAGTCTGACGCCTCCATCAGCGCCCCCAGGGGGAGGCAGGGGAAGGGCCAGGCCTGGATCAGGGCCTTCAGCGCTTCTGTGCATCTCCTGGCGAAGGCCTCCCTGAACAGTGGAGGGAAGAGCTCCACAGGCAGGTCCTCCAGAGCCGAGATGGCCAAGGCCTGGTTCGTCAGCAGGCTCCGAGCCGCCAGCTGCACCAGTGTGGGCAAGTCCTGATCTTCCATCCTGATGGACCTGCAGGGAAAGGATTCTGGGACAACATCTAGGAAGAAGTTTTCTTGTTCCCTGCACATGTGTAACCCTAACTTGTCCCCTCCCAAATGAAGAACCAACTGAGGATCACACTCATTGTCTTCCCACATCCTCAGTTTACCCATCCACTTCCAAGCACCGTGTTACTGAATCCTGGACCCACTATAGCTGCTGAGATAGACTTTCTCATCATTGGCTGGGCACCAGTGGCTCACCCCTGTAATTCCAGCTTGTCAGGAAGCTGAGATCTGAGGAGCATGGATCCAAGCCAGCCAGATCTAAAAGTCTATGAGATTCTTATCTCTAACTGACCAGCAGAAAACCTGTAAGTGGAGCTGTGGTGCAAGTGATAGAGCACTAGCCTTGAGTGAAAAAGCAAAGTGAGGGGCTGGGAACCTGGCTTAGTGGTAAAGTGCTCACCTAGCATTCATGAAGCCCTGGGTTCGATTCCTCAGTTCCATATACACAGAAAAAGCCAGAAGTGGAGCTGTGGCTCAAGTGGTAGAGAACTAGCCTCAGGAAAGAAAGAAGGAAAAAGAGGAGGAAGGAAAGAAGGAAGGAAGGGAGGGAAAGGAAAGAAAGAGCAGGCAAAGGGATAGCACTAGGTCCTAAGTTCAAGCCCCAGTGCCAGCACACACACACACACTCACACACACACATTCCCATCATCATTTAGCACTCTAAAATCAAGAGATCAGAAACATCTCGGGTCCCAACAGTCTACAGCCTTAGTTCCCACAGTTAACCTGGCTGGGAAAAATTAAGGTCATTAGTTTTTGTTTCATATAATCTCTCTTCCTAGACCACAGCCAGGTCCCTGCATCTCCCTTGCCCTTGTGCCCGGCCTCACACAGCTAGCTGGTCAGGAAGGCACAGGTACTAAGCAGGGTGAAAATCGACCTGTCTCAACAACAGGCCCTGGAATTCTTTCAGGTTATCAAGAACCATCTGAGTGAGCTGAGTGGGGTGGGTCATGCCTATAAGCCCAGCCAACAGGGGATCAAGATGGGGAGAATGTCAGATCAAGGCCAGCAGAGGCGAAATTAAAAGAAATCTCCCAAGTGAATCATCTGGGAGGAGTGGTCAGGTTTATCACTTGTGAACACAGTTACCTGGAGGACTGCAGAAGGGAGGACCACAGTCCAAACCTCTCCATGCCACAGAGAAAACACGTCAGCCTCTATCTGAAAAGACAAAAATAGATAAAAGCTGAAACTAAACAGACAGGGTTCATGGCTTAAGTGGTATAGTGCTTGCTAGAAGCACGTGGTCCTGAGTTCAAATATCTGCACTGAAAATAAACCCTGAGCTACCAGAATCTATGAAAGTATGTGGGTGCCCTGGTTGGTGGAGGTGGGCAGAGGAGGAAGGTAGAGGCTGTGTTTTAGAAAAAGGAGGAAGCAGGTTGGATGCTGGTGGCTCACATCTGTTACTCTACCTACTCAGGAGGCTGAGATCTAAGGCTCATGGTTGGAATCCAGCCAGGGAGGGAATGTCTGTGAGACTCTTCTTTCCACCAAGAATACCCAAAAAGCCAGAAGCAGCGCTGTGGCTCAAGTGGTAGAGTGCTAGGCTTGAACAAAAGAAACTTCAGGACAGTGCCCAGGAACGCCAGTACTAGAATTGGCACCAAAAGAAGAAGAAAAAGGGTGCAGCAGGGCTGAAGGCTTACAGGTGAGCTCTAGAGGCATAGGAGATGTTTGGGGCGAGGATGCAGGAGGGGCCCCTTCCTTTGGGGAACGTTGGGACCCCGGAGTTGCCCAGATTCCTTCCTCCCCTGAAAACCCAGTGTGCCTGTGGGCAAATCTTTCTTTAGCCGGACTGGGGTTTGAACTCAGCCGCTGGCGCGTGATGCGCATGCGCTATTCCAGGTTCTTCTGGCTGTGGCTGGATTTCAGACGAGGACAGGATGTGGGGGCTTTCGTGACTTGGGGTTAAAATGTACAGGTTTTTCTTCTGTTTTTGTGCGGGTCCCGGGGCCTTGGGCGCTGTTCCCTGAGCTTTTCTGTTTTGTTTTGGCTGAAGGCCCGAGCGCTCTCACATGAGCCCCGCCTCCACTTCTGGCCCCTCGGTGGTCAGCTGGAGGTGACGAGGCTCAGGAAAGTCTCTCGGACTTCCCTGCCCGGGCTGGCTTCGAACCGTGATGCTCAGAACTCGGCCTCCGGGGTGTGTGGGTGGCGTTGGGTGCGGCGGGGGCCGCCCGGCTGGGCCCGGCCTGGCCCCGCACCGGCCCCCGGGCGCGGCTGTACCCCGCCTGCGTGGTCTCAACTCCTTCCTTCATCTTTTCTGCGTGGGCCTGGGGCCGGCGCTGTCCCGCTCGAGCCGCGGCTCCGCTCCGCCACGCACGGACACCGCACCGCGTCGTCCCCGACAGAGGGGCCCGCTCGCGATGTTCGCGCCTGCCGTTCTAGAAGGTTCTTTCCCTTGCACCTCGCCCCCTCCCCCACCCCGCCTCTCTCTCTCGCTCTCTGCAACTGCTTTTTCCACCGCACGACCCCTGCCCGTGACCCTCCCGCCGCCAGCCGAGCCCCCTACCACAGACAGCCCGGGGCTGAGGAGAAGCCGCGCAGGACGACCCCGACCCGCTCACACGCTGCTGCCCCGCGTCCGCCGGGACAGTGCCCGCCGCGCTCCTGCGCATGCGCAAGCCCCTCCGACGACGACGCCCCGCCCCCGCCGCCAGGGGGCGCCGCGCGCAGCCTCGGCTCGGCTCTGGGGGCACAGAGGGGGGCGGGGGGGCGGGGCTGTCAGGAAGGGGAGGAGAGAGCCAGAGGGTTCTGCCAGCTTCGCTCCCTCCTGCCAGCCCTGTTCTAGAAGCTTCTGTGTGGCCCTGAGGTGACGTCCGCCATGCCGCCATCTTGAGTGGAGTCCAGGCCCCGAGGCCGGGTGGAGACAACGGGGGCGGGGGGCGGGGCGCCTGAGACCCCGCAGACCCCGGCCCACCCCGCCGCCCGGAGAAAATAGTAGGGAAGCTTCAGGAAAGGTCTAGAACAGCAGTGTCCGTCCGCCATTGGGAGACACATTGGGAGAGAAGCTGGTCAGTAGCACACGCCACCGGTGGTCGCAGGTGGTCGCGGTGGTCCGCGCTTCTCCAGCGGTGCAGCCGCCCGTCCGGCCACCACCAGACTGATTGGCTCTGATCACAAGGTGACGTGGGGAGGGGTCACAGCCGGGTCCTGCAGGGAGGCCGGAGCCCCGGCCCCGCCCCCGGCCCCGCCCCTTCT